CGCGGTCCGTCGCCCGTTAGGATAATGTTCCGGCATTCACCTGGTACTGATCGGAGGAATCATGGGAAACCACCGATCAGAGCAGCCGGCCGCTAGAATTCTCCTCCAGACAGTGTCTGAATTCCACTTAGTTGGCAAGCTACTGTAGGAACGCATGCGACCGTCAGGTAGTATATTTAGAGGTTCAACCTATTTACAAAATAATTACAAAATTTTAATATTGTACTTCACTGTTTGCAAACGATGTGTACTACCGAGTTGTAATGCCTTTAGAGAAAGATCTTATTTTATTTTTTCTAACTATTCTATTAAAAACTACATCATTAACAGTAATTGCTTGAAAGTCAAATTTTATCATTTCAGGGTGCATCAAAATATTCATTCCTACATACGTTTCTAGACGTTTATTTTAATTCTTAAAATCTTCCTGAAAAATGAGTTCCAATTTTCAGATTCCTCAGCGAGGGAAGAAATACTTCCGTTGGCTCTCATGCAAAGCGGAAGAGAAGCAATTCGCATCAAGATAACTTTATTCGCTTCCTGCAAATTGTATTTCCCCTGAGGTCTGTAATCCTACTTCCCCACAGCTCAGATTATCTCTGCAGAAGACACTGCCAGACAGCTTATAGCCCATTTCCTGGATACATTTTATCGGTCCGGTGCAGCAAGTTTGCGCCAAGCCGTTTCGTAAGTCAAAAGAAGCGCTCGATGACAGTTATTATTGCAACTCGGAGGGCTCTTCTAGTGAGAAATGGAAGACGGAGCTGGACCGAGCGGTAGGGCGAAAGACGCCGTTCGCCATCCACGCCTCCTCCTTCCTTTCTTCTTTTCACCATCTTCAGTCTATTCTAAGCAAATTATTATTATTATTATTATTATTATTATTATTATTATTATTATTATTTATTGTTATTATTATTATATTACTATTATTACGATAATTATTATTATTACCATTATTATTATTATTATTATTATTATTATTATTATTATTATTATTATTAAAGTTCAACGCTTCACGGTTTTGTCGCGGAAGCGTTAATAACTCCACGAAATTGTAAAAGTTTGAATCTCAATACGCTGTACTTCAAGAATGAACAGTTTCTAAATGAATTTCTTCTCGTAATTAAAACATAGAAATGCAGACAAACAAGGGTATAATTTTTATTCGAATTTGAGACGGACCTTTTGCATATTGTATATCTTGAAATCTCCAAATTATGTTGTAAGCCATAAGCTAGAATACCATATTAAGCTCATTAAAAATCGTCTATTGGTGTCATGAAAAATAACAGTTTTTCAGTAAGCAATATTCCAATGCTGCTACGCTATTTTTAAAAAAATACACAAAGCACGTGGTATGACTAGCCACATATGTTAGAATTAAAACGAAGTGTTTTAAAAGAGGAAACATAAAACTTCTAACCTCAGAATATAATTTTCCAGTAATATTCTCAATTGTGGGGGTCACAGTTACCCTTCATATTATTTCATTTTAAAGCATTCCCTCTTTAAAGATGTTTTCTTTATAATTGGTAAGTATTACGCATCTGATAAATTAAAATTTTCTGTTTAAGATGAGGTTCAAATTCTACATGTAAAAAAACATTTCACGATTAAGTAAAACGAATATGACAAATACTTATGTTTTATTAATGTCTTTATTAATATCAATATTAAAAAACACTGCTGTTAAATAAAAACGTATGTAATTGAAAAACATTACATTATATAGGAGTCACGTATGACACGAAGTCTAGTTTTACGAAAAACGCATTTTACCCACAATTGATAGTGAGAGAAGTACGTATGTCCCCAAAAATGATCACAATTAATATTTCACAGTCATTCTTTAGCCAGGGTTAAAACTAGCAAAGCACCTAACAAGTCTATAAAGATTATTACAAAGCAATGAAAAAATATTGGCAAATAGTATGCTTGCAGAGGTAAATAGAAGCATTTGCTGGATCAACATGAACTCACTATCACGTACCAAGGTTAAGAGGTGTAACTTTTTTAATTTTTACACTTTTGTTAACATGAATAATAAAAGAGTTAGAATATGGCCAATAAATATTTAGCCTTTTTACGTTAACCATGTGGTGAACCATGTTCACGAATATATAAATGCTTCAGATAACATACTTCAGAAACACTCGCCTATGGCATGTATTCTAACGCCTATTCAAAATGATTCACAGTAATAATATCATATTCATAAAACATTCTACGTTGAAGCGTTTGTGTAAACAAGGCGTCTTGATTTAGGACGAGAACCCTTGTTCCGTCTTTGCTAACACACACGTAAGAGTTCAGCTCCTTTGTCGCCACGATTCCGCGTCCGGTGCATGCGTGTTCTATCCTGATTTACTTAGGGTCCTTTTGTACATTCACGCGATATTTATTACAGCGTGGAAGTTCCTACTGGAGAGATAATGGTGCTGCTGGAATAATAGAGGAACCTACGTTATTCACTTCGCACGGAGTGGAGCACAGAAGGGACAGACAGCGAATCATAAAAGCTGCGCAAACAAGCACTATGATTACAAATGTCTCCTAATTAGTTAGCACGCGTTTGTAGTCATTAGCGCAGTGGTATGTTTGCAAAAAACAAACAATTCGAGGTGTCTCAGCTTAAATAAAATATGCAAAAAAAGGTTGGTTTGCCGCAAATAAACTTTCCATTTGTGTGACTGATGAGTCGTTGCAGACAAAATATACTATTAAAAATATGATCAAAATTAAATTATATTTTAATAACAAGTCTGTCAGTTTCAAATTTTTATAGAATTAACACTTCATATTATTCTAATCCTTTTTACTTTTGGATGCTTTTTTAACTGCTCCGTTTCTTTCGAAAGCGTTGAGAAACTCTTGCTCTAAGTATTTATACTTACTTAAGATGTAATCGTAGGTTTTAGTAACGTTTGTGATACACCAAAACTTCGTCATACCTGACATATCTGTTTTTAAAATAACATAATGATTTGTTCTTTCGCCCATTACGTTTTCTCTATAATGTATAGGAAAATATTATTTGCTCATATAATTGAAAACTGATTATTTAAATATATTTTACATAAAGAACATGAACTAAAGAGGGGAAATTTTTAGAATTATATAATTATTAAAAATCACTGAATAACGAGATTCCTCTCTCGTAAACGTATATCAATATTATATTAAAACAAATACAAGTCGTTATTGCACAAACAAATTCGTTATTTTGAACGCAAGACGGGAACAGAAGAAAGTATTTAGCTGGCATGGAGAGAAGAATTACGCAGACCTAGCTTAGAATGTATTACCTTTCATGGCTAGCGACCGTGGTGACCCCACACTTGAGACATGTTCACCGGCGCGACAGAAAATATTCAGCGACGATGCAAGCAGCTGTAGTGCACGACAAACGACGTCTTTGAGAGTCGATGTGGTACACTTAACACGCGCGCTGAAGCCAGGTGTTGCTGAGCAACACGGTAAGGGAAAACAAACTTTGCGTTTGAATGATATTGTCACATTATGCTATTCTGATCCATCTATTATCAAGAATCCATCTAACATTAAGTTCATAAAGATAGTAAATATATAGTCAATCTTGCCACTTTAAACATTTTGTATGTCTTATATACTAGAATTTCAAAAGAGTCTTTGATTTTTGACATTAGCCTATCAATAAATTCATTTGAGGAGACCAATTATTTAAAATTCAGGATCTTTTCAAATGAACTAGCCAACTGAAAATTAATTTGAAATATCTATTACACATTAAACATTTTAGGACAAAGTCCTCTTGACGAATAAAGCCAATTAAAGAAGCATTAACATTGGTAATGTGATGATGTGAAAGCATTAACATTGGTAATAGTATTCCAAACTTATATGGAAACAGTCACTGAAATATTATTTTTCCTAAGAATTTTTATACATATTTGTTATTATTATTATATTTACTATTACAAATGTTAAGATTTTTAATAACAGTGATAAAACATTCATGTTACAGAACGAACACAAATGTTGAAATTTTTGAACTACGCAGAAAGTACTCAGCATCTTCCTAATGAAATTATTTGTTCAAAGGTTTCGAAAGAGAAAACACCATTGATAATTTGAAAACAGTTAATGGCAAGACAGAGCTCCGGAATATCTACTGCTACCAATTCCCGTTGCCTCCCAGGCCATACATATCTGCCGCCCACCTCCGTCTCCTCCTCCGCGTCTCAATATTTGATCGCACTCTCCGGTAGTCGGTCCGTGCGCGTCGGCTGCCCCCGCCACGCGCCTAATCTATTTGTCTTGCCGCCCGGCGGCCTGGCCCGCGCCGCACCGGGGCGTCGTGCAACATCACTTCGCCTATAACTCTCGGGGGCAAGTTCGCTCCGTCTCCTCTCGGCAGGCAGCCGACTAATGGAAGGCAACTCACTTAACGGCCCGGGCGCAAACTACCGGGCCAAGTGTGAGATTGGCGCGCGTCTGGCGGGCTGCAGCCGTCACGCCCGGGGCCCCCGCCGCTTAATCCCGCGCCAACTTCACCACGGGAGCGCCTCGTCATACGTCGCGCTGGCCAGAAGGCCACCACCTCAAGAAGGAGCAAGTCTTCAGAGACTCGACTTCCGTTCTTTACAAAGTCCACTTCCGTTCTTTACAAAGTCCACTTCCGTTCTTTACAAAGCCCACTTCCGTTCTTTACAAAGTCCACTTCCGTTCTTTACAAAGTCCACTTCCGTTCTTTACAAAGTCCACTTCCGTTCTTTACAAAGTCGACTTCCGTTCTTTACAAATTCGACTTCCGTTCTTTACAAATTCGACTTCCGTTCTTTACAAATTCGACTTGAAGTGTCTAAAATGATAACATTCAGCACCTTTCGTACGATAGTACGATGTTCACTAATGATCATTCCCAGCCCTAAAGAACAGGCAATCGCCGAAAGTAAGGAATGATTTACACACATGTGATTGCAAGGCCCTGGTTTAAGCAGAGATATTTTTACAACAACCATTTTTCCTAAAAGGAAAAGAATTCAATATAGAAATATAGAATTCAATATAGAAGCAGAATTCAATATAGAAAATCAACATTCCAAAATCCAATTTTAAATCATAAAGAGAAGCAAATAGTTCCAAATGCCTCAGATTTCCCTCCATTACCCATTCACTCCCTCCAAAATAACACTTCCAATCCCAACTCGCAATCCGTAAGAAAACACGAGCAACCTCATGATAATGCAATCTATTATCCAAATTCCAAACCAGTATGGAATACAAGAAATTATTCTAATCATGGAACTACAAACGACCATGAAGAACTCAGTGAAGTCCTTGATAAAGCCTTTCAGAGAATCGAAAATATTCTGAAACAGCAATCCGTGCAAATAAATACACTTCTTAATTTAATCACTACACTGATATCAAAAATGCGTTAAATGGCGGGAAGAATAAAATTTCTACTCTGGAACGCTAATGGTATACTACAGCATCGCCGAGAGGTAATAGCAATTCTCACCGAACAAGCCATAGATATCATGATTATAATCTGAACACACTTCAGAGATAAAAAGCGAATCTTTCACATTCCGGGGATACGAAATCTAGCACTACTGAACAATCCGGACGAACTTGCGCACGGCGGAACGGCCATTATCATTCGTAAAAGCGGTCAAACATCCTTGAGTTACCGGAATACAAAACAGAAGAAATTCAGGCCATCTCCGTAATGATTACAGAAAACGGTAGACCACTAACCCTAACAGCAGTTTTATTGTCCCTCCTAAACACAAATAACGGAAGATCAATTTGCTACGTTTCTGAAAAGCTTGGACGGAGATTCATTAGCCGGTGGACGACTACAGACGCCAAACATCAACAATGGGGCTCACGTCTCAATCCTTATCAATACCAATACTTATCAAGGGGGAAGAATTACTTTTTTAAGGCAATGAACCAAATTGAATATTATGACACTATCAACAGGAGAACCTTCAACTGGCCCACGATATGAACACAGACGCCTGATCTCATCGACTTTTTCTTAGCCAAAGTAATAATACTGCTACATATCAATATTAAAACCAAAACTACGACCTTTAGTTCCGATCATACGCCAGTAGAGATGACCATCTGTTCGTCCGTATTGAGCGCAAGATACACCACCTAAACTTTGTAGTAAGTTACTAACTGGATAAATTTTGAATATACGTTAACAATCGTTACGTAAATAGCCTTTTAAAAATCAAGTCAATGATATAGATACTGGCAGTTTTTACATCCTAACAGAGGTTATACGGAACGCTGGCGCTGGAGAGCAACACCAAACCTGAAGAATCAAGCACCCCCGTACCGCAACGAAATTAGCACAAAAAATATACTGAAAACGCGACATTCCGTAGAATCTATATGACACCAGAACGTCCTGAAGACAAAAAGGAAACTTAACGCAATAAGCCCAGCAACTAATAAAAGAGAACTAAAGAGTACAAAACACCAAAATTTTCCAATTAACCGTAAATTTCCTTGTCACCAACAGCTATAACTAATTACTCATTGTGGAAAGCAACAAAAAACTAATCGGCACAACAACACATCTCGCCTATTAGAAAGATAAGATGGCACTTGGGCAGATAAGTCCTGAGAAAAGGCGAATGTCTTTGCTATAACACTTTCTACAGTATTCAAACGCAATAGCTAAACGAAGTATTTTCGGAAAATGAGGTAACAGAAAGTTTACAGGCTCCCACTCCAACAGTCGGCACCCATCAAGACGTTCAATCAATTATGTGAAATAGAAGAAACCCATTAACAAAAGCACATATAAATCTACTAAAAGCCCAGGACATGATTTTAAATACCTGGTAAACAATATTACAAGAATTACCCAAGGAAGCACTATCATTCGTCACATCCACTTTAATGACCTTATAAGCGAGAGCTACTATCCGAACTCTCTGAAGTATGCACAAGTGATAGCCATAGCGAAACCTGGAAAACCTCTACAGAACGTTGCAAGTCATACTGACCATAAGTCTCTCCCCAGTTTTATCTCAAGGTATTTGCAAAACTACTTTTACAACGGGCTTAAACCAATAACCGATAATCATAATACCAGACTTTCAATATGGGTTTCGTGAAGGTCACTCAACTATAGATCAGACAACACCGATAATAGTAAACAAGAATCTCAAAGCCTAGAAGAAAAGAAATATGGTTTTCTGCTGCTTTCTTGGATGTACAGCAAGCAGTTTGATAGGGTCTGGCTGCAGGACTGGCTATTCAAAATCAAGACAATTCTACTCCCGCACTCATTCTAATACATTTTTTAAACGTCATCTATATCCAACCGCTTTTTTCAAATTAATACCAAGAGTTTTCTCTGGATTTAAAGCCACAGACAGCAGGTGGTCCTCAAGGAAGTATCTTAGGCCCAATTCTGTACGTTATCTATACTTCTGACTTACCAACAACAGACGCACAATGATGGCTATCATTTTGCTGATGACACAGCTATTTTAAGCTGTCGACGCAGGACTCAAACTCGGAGCATCGCAACACCTGCAAGCGCATCTGGACAAGGATAGAGAATGGACGTAATTAATGGAGAGTAAATATAAACACAGCAAAATCAAACAGTTTCACCCTTCTCATTCGGAAAAGAAAGTGTCCAGAAGTGAATTTAATTCGTCAAGAACTCTCAGTAACAACTGTTGTGAGGTATCTTTGGTTTACATCTAGACAGTCACTTAACCTGGAAACCTCACATCCTTGAAAAAGAGGGAAAGAATCAAACTGAAATTAAGCAAATTATCAATGGCTACTTAACCAAAGTCTAAGCTCTCCTTATACAATTTTTAGGTTACAAGACAATAACAAGCCAACATGGACTTACGGCATCGAAACTCTGGGGAATCTGCCAGCAAGTCAAACCTGGCAGATCCTGAGAAGATTCCGCAAACAAAACACTGAGATATATATGCAACGGCTCCGTGGTTCGTCCACCAACAATAATTTTGTAAAAGTTGCACATCACTCAACAATGACAGAGACTATCTCTGGAGGAAGCCAAGAGGCCATCAGAATGAGACTGGGATGCCACCCGACATCAACAACTTCAGTGAACATGTTGAACAATAGTGAACATGTGTATAGGCTAAAGCGTGAACATATTCTAGACTTACCCTTTAGATGCTCTTCATAGTAACTTCTATCATGTATACCATTTACTAATTGTTACAAGTGAACAGATTGTAAATTAGCAGAATTGAAAAAAAGGAAAAGAATTTGGTTGATATGTTTGTTGAATACAATGAGCTCTTGTGTATAGACAGGAGGCAATTCCCTGTGCTCTGACGGTTCGCCGTGATTGAGAATGTTCCACGCCCCGGGCGCTTCATTTCCGCGCAAACTTGACGAGGGGCTTGCCTTATCTTAGTCCGTGCTGGCCGGCAACACATCGCCCCGTAAGGAGGGAGCTGCTCCGTTCTTCAAAAACTTTACTGCGATCGTGATAGCGATTCCGGCTCGGAGCTGCTAATATATTGATGATTTATAGTAACGCTGCCTGTTATTTCTTATGTTTTGTAATAAAAACATTCTAATTGTAATGAAAAATTGGGAGTGTGGAATACGAATTGATGATACGAATTAACGGCTGAGTTCTGGAGATATGTTCCTCCTGACTTTCACTTTACTCCATCTCATTGAGGCAACTTCATGGCGCAGCTCACCGAATTTCGTAGTTTGTGAAAGGGACATCGCAATCGCACCGAAAGGATATGCGGAGCGATTCCTATATACCTGCGAAGTTTTCAATGAACACATTTTCTTAATACGTGTTTTGTGTTTCTAAAGAGAGAGATCTTCGTTGCAGAGAGCAGTGGACGGTCACGACTAGTAGTTGGTCACGACTACCAGTTGACGGCCACGACTAGCAGTTGACGATTTCGTCTAGAAGTTGACGGTCACGACTAGGAGTTGACGGTCACGTCTAGGAGTTGATGGTCACGACTAGGAGTTGACGGTCACGACTAGGAGTTGACGGTCACGACTAGGAGTTGATGGTCACGACTAGGAGTGTAATTAAGCTAAGAACTGCATACACAAATAATGCAGTTGCAGTTGCTGTTATGTTAAAGATACAAATATCATCTAGAAAACCTATATTTTGCTTTGAATACACGAGAAGGTTGAGAAACCTTCTGACACGTTACCTAAATTATTATTGATCATATTATAATTTACCAATGGAATCTGCTCGTATGAATCAGTTTATTTGCACTTTATGGTCAAACGTTCCCTTTCGAGTAATCAATTACTAGTATTGAAATCAAAACCTTTTGAATGAAAGTTATTAAATTATAATAAAATAAATTATACCAGAACGCATTCGTGCTGGATTTACTTATCTTCACAAGAGGACTGACACAGAAATGTCCTATTTTTTCACAATCACTTACGAGCACATTTTGTTTACAAACAAAAATAGAGATCTATTATCCATTTTTTAAATCAATTTTTACATGGAAGTACAGAGAAGTGAAAAAGTAAGCATGGTGAAAGTAAATTTATAATCCTAACGTAATCCTAATGTAAAATGTTATAATTCAAAAACATACATTATTGGGATTCAATCTTTCTAAAGACATCTTTTTTCTATATATGATGTTAGTATAGAAGTACTGCGACAAATAATTCCCAACTAGTGAGTAACTATACTTATTACTTTTTAAAATGTTATTAGAGGTAAATACGAGGTTTACGTTAGGTTTACGGAAGCAAGCTATGCTTATTTCGACGTATTTACAGGAGAATTGCTACAAAAATATCGCATCTCTGATTATAATATTTTTTCATGAGTCAAAATACATAACAAAGAGTCCGGCTTTCCTTTTAACATTTTCGGAAATTAATTTTTAAAAGCAAATTTACCAAAGTAAATTTATACGACGAGACAGAGCAGCGTATATATTAAATATTAACCATGATTAATATTACCATATACACAAATGATGGAATGTAAAAACATTTCAGCAAATGTAATGAAGAAAAAACGAAATAAAATTAGGAATAATTTCTTTAAAAACTTCGGTTTTAAATAACATGATCCTAAATATGCTTAACCACAGGAAGAGGCCCGCATATGCGGTTTGCAGAGGGAACTGGCGAAGGG